ATTTCGGGTTTCGGAGTTTCGGATTAGAGTCTCCCGAAACTAGTTTCGGGTAGGTTTCGTTTCGAGTGCCAACTCTACAATGGACAATGTCCATCGACATTTCTCTCAGAACTCATCATATTCCATTGCCACCCCTGGATAAACAGGGTACAAAATTTGTGGTTGTGTAATCTTACTGTCACACCTCTCCTATAATGCTGTAATTCACATAACCACATGCTTTCTCTGTAAAAAAAATTTTTAGTAGCAATATCGATGTCTGACGAGAATTCTATCCCGGCTATACAGGCAAGTTTGGTGATAGCAAACATAAAAAGGTCAATATACTAATCATGTTCGTTTTTGATAGCTTTAATCTCATATTTGAAAGGAGGTGACTCCAACTTTTGGTCATATAAGGAATTCTTAAAGAAAAACCGCTCTACAATCTGTGAATCACCACCATTTACAAATGACTGGGCAGGACTCAATGGCAGATGGTTTGAAAGATTTTTGCAAGCAGTAAAGTCCTTGAATTTGCCTAACTCAACTTCGGTTATCGATGAAATTGAAAAAAAGAACGTAAACGACGTAAGTATGTTTGACCAAAGGGCGCCTCCTGACAGCTACTTCCTGACTCCGGGGGTATAGGCAATTTTCCCTAGCCCAAGTGATAGTGAAGGATAAATCCTGACAGCTATTTCCTGATTCCGGATCATGGGCAATTTCCCCTGTCCTCACTATTTGCGACATGGTCTAGTTTTGCTTTTAAATTGTATTATATATTATTTTCGGCAGGATGTTCGTTCATACTGGGAGGATGTGATAGATGAACGCAAAAAGGCAGGTTAAAAAATTTTATTCATATATATATTAATTCTTGCTAACTATCGACTGTTGTTATAGAACCGCATAAAAAGAACGATTCGATCCAAAACATTTGATATGTATCAAGGCGCAGTGGAGTATATTGGAGAAGAAATTGAGGATGATATTAGGCCTCCGATAAAAAAGCTCAGGGTGGATACAGGAAAGATACCGGATTCAGCAGAAGTATATTTGTCATTTTGATTAAATTATTTCTATAAATCCATACGATAATCTTAAAAACCTTGCTTTCCAGCAGTTGTGCGAAAAATCCTTTAAAATACTTTCAACAGGCTCATTTGTTGATCTGAGACAAGGTGGAGGTTATTATTTAGATAAGACCCATTTCATCCCTATGATAGAGAATCTTAATGTTCGTGCAATTCTTTTCCTCTGACCATGTCGTTTTGGAAAAACATTGTTTCTTTCTACTTTGTCTGCATATTATAATATAAAGAACAGAGAACGATTTATACAATTATTTGGTGATTTGTATATTGGAAAAAATCCAACACCACTGGTTACTTCATTTTTTATTCTCGAACTTAATTTTTCTGGACTTTAAACTAATGAAATATACGAAATTTTTAATACTAATTTTCATACTGTTCTGAATATTCATATATCGTGGTTTATGGAACAATATCAACACGAATTGGGATGATATTTTCAAGTAATTGATGAAAATGTTGATGCCTTAGCAAATTTCCTGAGGTTATTAAAAGCGGTACAATCAAGTGACCACAAAGTAATTTTTGTCTATTTAGTTATCATTTCTTCATAAAACAGACATCAAGCTTATATTTTTGTTTTTTAGCTTTATGTTTTTATTGATGAATACGATGCAAGTATGAATGAAGCACTCAGAAACAAAACTATTCTTACACATCATCAAAAAAAGGAAAATGCCATCATTAAAAACAAAATCGAACTAATTGAAAGTTTATTTAAATAGTTTTTAGTTGTTTAAAGACAACTTGTGATAAGAGTATTGCCTATGTTTTCCAGACTGGCATGACCCCAATTGTTATGTTCAAATTTACTTCAGGTTTCAATATTTCTTCCAATTTGGTATTACTAGATGAATTTTGGGATTTGTATGGGTTCAAAAAATCTGAAATTGAATTTCTCTTAGATAATATTTTTGGAAATAGTTTTTCATTCAGTATTAAAAATAGAATAATGAAATGGCTGAAAGATAAATATGCTGAATACTATTTTAATCCTGATCAACAAAAAAGTATATTTCATACTGGTAGTATTCTATACAGTATTCAGATGTTAACTGAAAGAATGAAATATATAGAGTATAGTCTAGATGATTCAAGAATCATCCAAAAGCTTCTTCATTTTCTCTTTGATCTACATATATTACCCTCACAAATAACACTGGACTTAATCATAAACAATCCTCTAGGCAAAGATATATTTATTGAAGCACTTAATAGACACTTTTTCAAATCAAAAAATGGCATAAAACAATGATTTCGACTTGTTAACATTTATGAACTTACCACTAATCGTACCTCATTACTATCATTCTTATTTTATACTGGTGCCCTTATCTATCTACCAAACACACTACATCACAGTTTTCAGATTCTGAACTAAGTTTCAAAAAGAGAATTTGTAACAGAAGTTCTCAAAATTCATAATTGAAAACATGATGATTTAACATCTGTACAGCAATGTTTACAAATTTTGGAAGGAAATGATGACATTAACCTATTATGTCGATTTGTTGAACAAGTGCTGCTTAAACCCTTGAAGGATAATAGCATTAAACATTCAAATGAGAAAGCATTGAAGCAGAAATTTTTGGATGCTTTAGTTCTCACTCTTTATGCAGATATTGAACCAGAGTTTCGGGTCAATTTTCAGAGTAATTATTTATATGGAAAAACAATTAATTTAGTGAAAATAAGCACTGAAAAAAGGATTGCAATTGAATTCGATAATATCAAAATGGAGTGTATCAAGTTTGATAGAATTCGAGATAGTTGGCAAGAAGCAACTCGAAGCTCCCTATCATTAATGAAGAAATCAGAAAATGAAATTTTAAACCTTAAAATTAATGATTTATACTGACCAAATCAAAAGACAATTTGTGAAGCTTTGGAATAGAAAATTAAAAAGAAATGCAATAAGTATTTAGAGCCATTAAAAGGTCAATATGATGCAGAGTTAAAATGTATATTTATTGTTTTGAGAGTAGACTTGCATCATCTAATTAGTAAAAGAGTTTATTGAGTTAATAATAATTTGTAGAATAACAATAAAATTTCACTCAATTTGAACTTGGTTTTTAACTTTTTTGTGCTATATAATGTAGGTTGTGCATAGTGTTACTAGTTGAAATACTCTATTTAGTCAAATATTTAGGCAATTAAGTATCTAAATATAGATATTGTTTTTTGTCAAAATGTCAAAATTTAACTAAATATCTAAATGCTTGACAAAATAAATATTATATGATAAAATGTCTAAATGCTTGACGAAATGAATATTATATGACTAAATGTCTAAATGCTTGATGAAATAAATATTATATGACTAAATGTCTAAATGCTTAACAAAATAAATATTATATGACTAAATGTTTAAATGCTTAACAAAATAAAGATTATATGATGAAATAAAGATTATATGACTAAATGTCTTAAGTGCTTGATAAAATAAATATTCTATACTAAACACTTGACAAAATAAATATTATATAGTTAAATATTTAAATGCGTATTGACAAAAGACAACGAGTCGAAAAGAAAGGGTTGCACTGGTCAGAGGTTATACACTATGTGCCACAACCCCTGCACCTACTTGATCGTAATGAAGGACATGGATCAAGATCAAGAAGAGATTAATCAACATCAAATGCATATATCACTAAGCAGAAAATTAATAAACAAAGATATGTAATCACAAGCCACTGAATGCAATCGATATATAAAGAACCAACAAAAAGAAGCATTTTCGACATTTTTTTTTTCTTAACACAATAGTCTTGGACAATCAAGTTTCTCAATCCAACTCTTCCTATCACAAATGATAGTTTCCTAATCCTGTTATTTTCATATTTAACAGCTGGCCTGCTTTGAGCAGATGGGAAATTATAGGCAGACTTCATCTGATTGGCTGATGTAAATTAATTGCCTAGGTAACTTATTTATATACTTTTAAAGTACTTTTGAAAGTATAACATTTCACTAACAAAAAAACCTCCGTAAAAGCAAATTCTAGTTCTTAACAAACATTATTATTCATTGTTAAAATTAATTCAAAATAATCTACCTTTCCAAAAACTTCACTTAGAAGTGAATATTTTTATTATAAACTTACTAGTACTAGTTATATTAACTATATGTAAGTTTTAAATGCCAAAAATGAATGACAGATTAAGACATTTAAGGTAAATTTAGATTTGAAAAAATTCTTACAATCTGTTAACATATTGTATTTAAGTTTAAAAATAATTCTAATATTATAAATAAAAAATAGTAGTGCAATGACTGTATTTAACTGAAAAATAATATTATTTAAGAATTTATGAAATTTTTTGAAAGTTTTTCTTTGACAGATGTAACAACTAGAAAATTTATTAAGTAGGATATTGCCTAATTGATAATATATTTTAAAGGTAGTTATGTCTCTAACAAAGGCAGTAATAATTAAAATATGATTTTTTTCTATTCAATATGTAATTAAATATAATTAATAAAGGATAATTAATATAGGGCTGATGCTGAAATCAGATAATAAACTACCCCAGGATCACCATCAAATTTTCACTTTCATGTGATGATTATCCAATAGCATGTTTCAGTCAGAGATGATGATTTACTACAATTACAGAAAATAGCAGAATTTTTCTAAAAAATAGCTAATCACAAAAATCAGCCTCAGTAATTGCAGAATATCACAGAATTTAAAATTGTAACACATAATTTCAAATAATAAGTAGTTTCTCACAGAATTTTACATAATGAGCTAACTCGTTAACAAAGATAATCTAAATATAGATAGAAAATAAGCAATCTCTTTTGATTAAATATATTAATTTTCATTGTAAACCAAAAATCTGCTTGTATGTTTATTTTTTATTATTGTTTATAAAGGATTTAAAAGTAGTTTATATGGTTTTAAAAACATAATTCAAGATTCAAAACCATAGTTCACAGTTCAAGAATCACAGATTATAAATCTAAAATAGATATTCTTTAATTTACTTGTTATTTACAAATCTTAAAATAAGTATTTCTTAAATTACCTATTTTTAAAGATATTGATGAGTATTAATTTTGCTATCATTATAAATTTTCTTTAATTTACTTGTTATTTATAAACCTTAAAATAAGTATTTCTTAAATTACCTATTTTTTAAAGATATCGATGGGTATTAATTTTGCTATTGCTATGAATTTTCTGATTTTAAATTAAAGTTTTAAGTAAAGCAAACATGATATATAAAAAAATTTTACACAAATAAAAAGTATAAATATTTCAAATAACATCTTTAAAATAAAATTTTACTGTGTACTGTATACAATTCAAAAATAAATTTGATATCAACTTTGTTCTTTGAACTATAATATATATTTTTTAATCATAATAGAAACATGAATAAAAAGAATTTCTATTACTACTTATTTAAATAAATATCTCAGTGTTTTTAGAGAAGATAGAGGAATTATGTTTTGTAATTACTGTGATTTATCTGTTAAATAAAAAATTAAATCTACTATCAACAGATACTGTAATTCAAAAAGGCATCTAAAAAACAAGCAAAAATATGAAAATAAAGAACAATCAAAAAAGCAAGTCACACTTGAAACTGCATCAATTGCATCTGAATCAAAAAAAGAAGTTATAGAGGATTTAATTGAAGTTTTTTCTTTGGCAAATATTCTTCTTGAAAAAGTTAACAGTCTACTTCCTTTTTTTAAAAAACATCTTAAAAAAGGTGGTGTGATCCCTTAAGCTTCTATACTACACAAAATTTATTTACTTCATGTATTTAATAATCATTTCACTTTACTTTAAAATCTTTTTAATCAAAAATCTGTAGCAATAACAATTGATGAAACTACAGATGAATGTTCATATAGCATTGTAAATACTTTTTTTACTTTTCATCAGAATACAAAATTAATTTTAGTTGACTTTTTAGATCATGTTAATAATTCAACTATTGGTGGAGTCTTATTAACTCTTTTGGCTAAATATAATATTCCATATATCTTAACAAAATTATTTGTTATAGATTCAGCAGCTTATATAAAAAAATGCTATCATGAAGTATTAAAACCAGTTATACTGCAGTTAATCTATTTATATTGCTATGCACATATTATTAATCTTATCAGGTAAATATAAATTTAATATTTTTTTAAAAAAAATTTTTTTTATATAATAACTATATATATTTATTTAGTGATGCTTGACAAATGTTTTCTGATTCTAATCTTATAAAAGTTCTTTTATCAAAGATTAAAAAAATGTTCACTAATTCATCTGCATATAAGGGTCATTATTTAAATTATCTTCAAATATATGAAGTTGAAAATTCATGCAAAATTTTATTACCAAATAAAACATGCTAGAATTCATGGTTTAAAATAGTATTTTATACTAAGAAATATATAGAATATTGGCCTTCTTTTTATTTTGAAGAACATAAAAAGAATACAAGTAATGAGTCGATCACCAAAATAAATAAAATTTTACACAATATACAAAAAAAAGGCACAGTTATCATTTATATTAATTTTATAACATATTATATACAGGAATTTGTTCATAATTTAGATTTTTTCTAGCAGCAAAATAAGCCTATATTTCCATATATTGAAGAACAGCTTAAACAATTTTCATTATTTATTAAAGAAAATATTATAGCACAAGACTTTGAATATAATCTAAATAATCTTATTACACAATTTCACTTTAACTTAGAAGAGTTTAATAATGTTTTTAGATTAGCATTTGTTGCTGCATATAATAAATATGCAATACACATTCCACAACATCTTGCATGTTCTTTATTTCATGCCTGTTATGTTTTTAATTTACTATATATTAAAATAGGAAATTAAGTAGGTAATATTTCCTGTAGAGATGTTCATCAATATTCAGCAATTGTTGAACTTAATAGTCCATCTCATGAACTTTTACAAGAATGGGCAATTTATTGTGGATTAGTAAATAAAGTAATTGAAGAACTAAATCTTTATGATTATTAGACAGAAATGCAATCTACTTTGCCAATTTTATCAAATATTGCGCAAGATTATATTTGGCTTTTGGTTTCTAGTTGTAGTATAGAATGCAGCTTTTCTATATATAATAATCTTTTAAATAATAATCATTAAAATCTCTTACTTGATTCTTTAAAGCAATTAAGCATATTATATTTTAATAGAAATTGATTTTTTTTTCTTTTTTTATGATTGTTGTTTTTTTTTCTTAAAATAAATATAATTTTTTAAGTGCATTAAATTACAGAATTAACATCAAACTATCATAGAATTGCACAAAAACTTACTTTATTATCACAGAATTTTACAGAATGTGTTAAAAAAAACAACACATTACATCACAGAATTTTTCTTAACTGAAAACAGAATTAGGCCTTAACTATAGCAGCAAATCATCATCTCTGGTTTTGGTTTAATATAACATTACATAATTAGGAAGATCAAAACAAAATGTTCGCTTTTTAAAAATTACTTATTCCTTAAAAATTTGCATAAGAAACCATCTTTTGAGCTCTAACAAAAAAAAGTCCTCAGTGATTTTACTATTAATGTTCTAAAACCTAGCCCTATTATAAATGCTAACCCTAACTTAAACAAATTTAAAGATTTTTAAACACAGTTATATGAAAGTGAAAATTTTGATAGTGATATTGGGAAAGATTCAGATGATGCTTAAAATCATATAATCTGGAATGTAGATTGCAACGACTTGAATATAAGATCAAATAAGGTGCATCATTTAAATGTGTTATTGAATTTAACATATATGGCAATTACAAAATTTTGCATGAATATAACCTAATAAAATAAGCAGGTTCTTTTTGTCAAAACATT